GGCCTATCACCTCCAGGGAGTCAACCCAGGCAACTCCCACTCAGGCCCCAGTCACCAAGGAGTACCTTTTGCTGGGAGGAGTAAAATGCCCTTCTTCTCTTCAGTGCTGATGAGCTCAGTCTTTTTTATCTACAAAAGAAGAGGTTCGGTTTCCTGTTCCACAAATGCGTAACGTAACAATGAGATAAATTTTAGGATGAAAGACAATGGAGAAGACCCTTTGAATGCACCTCCAATGAAAATTGGATCCCAAAGAACAATTTCTAGGAAAGACCAACTCAGAGTAAACCAGGACCGTCAACCAAATAGGGAGGTCTGGAGCTCAGGAGGACTTTCCAGTTCGCACAGGAGAAGCTCAGAGTCAGGGATCAAAAAGGGCCTGACAGAACCTGGCACCGACGTTGGGGCCACTCGTTGGGGTCCTAAGTGTTTCTGAGCACCATGTTGTGGCACCAGGCTGGTCAACAAGAAAGAAGCCAACTGTAAAATATTTAAGAGGTTGTATTCTGAGTCAAGATTGAGACCAGACCCAGAACCACACCAAAGCTTTGAGCAATAGACTTGCTGGTGGTTACAGTTTGTTTTATACATTTCAGGGAAGACGGTTACGGGAAGTCATAGATCCAGTCCCATGGAAGTGTACATTGGTTTTTCTCCAAGAAGCATGGCCAACGCGAAGCACGCCTTACAGTGATAATGGGTTTAAGATTCGTTTGACTAGTAATTGGTTAAAGGACTGGAAGCTTCTGTCTAAAGCTTGGGAATGGTTTTCAGATAGGAGGTCCTGTTAATCAGGAGACAAGTCAGTGACATGTATTGTTGTCAGTTGGAGGACCTGGAGGTTTGGTTTTACCATAGCCTTGGCTGGCCAGTGAGTCACCAGGAAGGGGATGTTCTCCAGAAGGGAGAGGGCATAATGAGGCATGTTGACTCCTCTGTGGCAGGGTTTAATTTAGTTTTAGGATAGCCCCTCGTCAGGAGGGTCTGTTCAGCAGCCGGTGCAGGGGGCGGGGGGCCTGTAATATTTTATTTTAGTCACAATGACGTTCAGTCTTTTTCATTTCTTTACCTATAAGGGATACTCGTTGTTTTTTGCTGAACATGGTTTGTGTTTTAATCTTTTGTATATGTCTCCCAGAACTAAGGTATCAGGAGTCAGGTTGGCTCCATACATGGGTGGGGTTAGTTGCGCTGCGTAGCCTTG